TATCTTGGCACCCCTATTTAAATTTGAAAAGTTAGAATACATGAATATATTTCTTCGGGGCAGTAGAGGTATGTATAACAGTAGATATAACTGATATAAAAAATATAAAAGATATTGTTGACCTAAGGTAAGGTTATTGCCATGGACATTAACAGCATTTGGAGTAGAAATCTAATGTTAAAGCTTTCACCTCTAATTTTCAATCAGTATAATAACAAGCTCTTTTCAAATATTTCATCATAATAGTTATCTCTTTTCACGTTTGATTTAAAAAAAACAAAAAACCTACTACCTAGACATTTTCGAATTATAAGTTCTTGATGAAATTGTATAAAATTTCTGAAATCGAAAACATAGTTATCTTGAAAACTATGACATTCAGCGAAAAGGATAAAAAATGAAATTTTTTGTATTTATTGAAGTTTTTATTATTTTTTTCAGCTGCTTTTTTGACACAGACAATGTGTGTAGATGACACAACAGTTAAGTTTGAGATTTGGGATACAGCAGGACAGGAACGGTATCACAGCCTGGCCCCCATGTACTACAGAGGGGCACAAGCAGCGGTTGTTGTTTATGACATCGTGAATCAAGTAAGGTTTGTTTCTTTACAGTTACCTTTATGTAAAAGTTTGAAATATTATGAAAGATGTTAGGAGTTGAAGCAGTATTTTCTTTCAAGTTAACAAGGACAGGTTTCTGTAATGACTTGAAAAAGGTTTACTTCACACAGTCCTCACATTTTTGTAATCACATTAATGTAAGTATTAAATGTATAGAGTTTCAAATGTTTAAATATTTATTTTCTTCGTAACATAGACTAAACTAATGTTAGATTAGGTTTAAAAATGATCGCCAAATTAAAGGGTTAAATTCACTCTTGAAATTTGTGTTGAAGGTGGATTTTGGCATGTTGTTTATATTCTGAAATTTCAAACACATGAAACATTTAAGGTTTAGTAATGTTGTCTCTCATAATTGTAAATGTTATAAATGGCTTTACCAAATAGTGTTGAATTTTTTTTAGGTTCTTATAAATTTGTAAAATTAATAGCCACCAACACAAACACTGATCTTACTCAAGTTTTCTATTTTAAATTTCAGGATACTTTCAGTAGAGCGAAAACTTGGGTTAAAGAACTACAACGCCAAGCCAGTCCAAATATTGTCATTGCATTAGCAGGAAATAAAGCAGACTTGGCTACTAAACGAGCAGTGGAATATGAGGTATGTGAAGCTATGTTTTAGTGTGTGTGTGTGTGTGTGTGTAATTCTTTGTAACAGTCTAAGATTTGTTTCTTTTAAGTTTGTTTTTTGTTCATATACATTTTAATTAATTCTAGTTCATAAGGCATCAAAATGAAAAGTGAAATTATTTTTAACAAAGATAATAGTTAAACATGTACAAAACAAAATACATTGTATTTCTTGCTTCGTAAGCTCATAAAGAAAAAAAAAAGTCCTTTAATAAGAGCAGAACTTCCGATGCCCTCAACACTGACGAAGGATATGAGATTTTGCTTCAGTCTTTAAGTTAGTGTGACTGCTTTGTAACCATCAAAGATTCCATACTACAACTTTTAACTCTCACTACAGGCTTGGCTGATTTGACTGAGTTCGTGACCCCAAATTTTACCTTAAGAGTTTACATACTATGACTTTTAATGTTTTGTGTATATTTATGAAGTTTCACAAGATTTTAATAAGAATTACAAAGCTTTTGTACACAAAAAGTCAGGTTTTACAAAAAAACCTTTATTAAAAATATTTCCATGAGTATATGGAGTAAAAGTTTTGACTGCTTCAAGTGCAAAGTGATTTTTACGTTAGGATTAAAAATACTTTTCTTCCTCTGCAAAATCTTAAATTTTATTTGCATAATCTCTAAAAACTCCTGAATAAATGTCAAATGGGTTTTTTTTCGGTAAATCTCTTGTATTTCCTCTTCCATAGCTCTATTTTGATTTGGTCAGTTTGACTGACCTTGTAAACACCATAAAAAAAAGAAAGAAATATATCTAAATAATCCTTTTTTTCTTTCTAAAATGACTGTAGATTGTAACAGAAAACTACAGTTGTTTGTCCTAAGTAGTTTAAAGCTCATAAAAGTCAATATTTCTTTTTAACTGTGTCTAACTAATAATCCCACCACACAAGCTGTAAATCACTTGGAGAACATGTAGGTAACATTACAGTATTGAATGACATAATGTGAAAAATTATTATTATTATTTTTCATTGTCTTATCTAACTTAATAAGTTTCTAATTTTTATGTTTTGGTTTTAAAGAATATACATAAAAAAAAACAAGAAATACAGTACTTACCTTTGACCTGTTGTATTTGGCTGTTGACTGCTGATGAAATTTAAGCCTACTTTTAATAATTATGGTACTAGTACACTAAATAATTATGCATAAATAATGCACCTAAGAATTCAGAATAATAACATGCAAAAACCAAACATTGTCCTATAACTATTATAATTTAACTGGTTTTCTAACTAAACCAAAAGAGGCTTAGATTAATTCCCTTTGCTGCTCAATCTAAACACCAGGAGATAAACTTTTAAATTGAAAACAAAATTGACAATACTCTGTACTGAAAAGAATGTAGTATTATATGCCTTTCAATAGATTGAAACTTTGCCTTTCTATTGATCATAAATAATATAAAATTTCAGAATTATTAGCAATTTGTGAAAGAGAGAGTGTGACAGGTGGGTGTGGCAAGTGGGTCTGATTTTCTAGTTTATGACTCCACAAGCAAATAAGATTGAAGGCTATAAAAAATGTTAGACTTTGCCTTAGTAATATCTGTATGTTAATGAGTAATTTACATTAACGTTTGTTCTCTAGGTCTTCCTCCTTCTCTGAAGTATGAAGACCTAGAGAACAAACGTTAACGATTTTCATACTTGTGAAGATATTTCTGTATGAAATTAAGAACTTGAAACTTGTATTAAAATCTTATTTATTATCTATGTTATGATGACAAGGTTATTTTTATACAATGATAATATAGTAGTTTAATTAAAATTTGAATGTGACTCTGTAAAAAGGTTGTGACGTGCACTTGGACCTACCCTTAACGAGAGAGTTAAGCTTCATTCCTTGAATGTTGACCATTCTAAAAACTGCTTGCAATGATGGATGTCAGGGGTACATTTCACAATACAGAATAGTACTTCATACTATTAATGTTCAAAATAATTGCATTAAAAATTTTTTTTCTTTTTTGTGATCACCTATATTGGCTCGTTATAGACTTTGGTGATTAGATGATGACGTGTTTTATCGTTTTTAAACCTATAAACGTGATTATTCTCTCACTGCAACTGGGATGTATATTTCCCAGTTGCAGTGGATGGGTTAAAGGATTAAATCTTGCCATAAAAAAAAATGTGTTGTGGATAGTATTATCAATTAATTTAATATTTGTTTTATTTCTCCTTGCAATTTATGTCTTAGTTTAGTTTATTCATTTGGTTAATTCTCGTTGAGTTATTTGCCCTTTTCACTTTCCGAATCACTTGCCAGCTCTTCTGTGCACACTTTATTTATAACAGTCTTCCAAATGAAAAGCTTGTACATGGATTTTGAGACGTGCCCATTAGGTCTTTATGGCCTTTGGTCTCCTATAGCCACAGGGATGCAGAAGCACTGACAATGGCCCTGCTTACAACAATGAACTGATAGACTACATGTAATATCTGTAACATTTAGTTACACTGAAATTTTGTCTCGGGTACTGTTTAAGACCAAACCATTATTTTGCTGATAAGTGCTCCCATTTCCCGCATGTCAAATTACGTAATATTCCTTGTAAATTAAATCTGGATTGTGTGTCAAAAAATGTTAAGTAAGTGAAGTTTAATATTACTTTATGGTGTTTATAGGAGTCTCAAGCATATGTAACTTGATGGTGTTTATAGGAGGCTCAAACATATGTAACTTTATGGTGTTTTTAGGAGTCTCAAACATATGTAACTTTATGGTGTTTTTAGGAGTCTCAAACATATGTAACTTTATGGTGTTTTTAGGAGTCTCAAGCATATGTAACTTTATGGTGTTTTTAGGAGGCTCAAGCATATGCTGAAGAAAATGGACTTCTTTTTATGGAGACATCTGCAAAAACGGCAGTGAATGTAAATGATGTTTTTCTGGCTATTGGTGAGTTTACATAACGTTGTTTACTTTTGTAAGGATCAATTATTATCAGTAAAAAAAAATTTTCTCATAAACTACAGAAAAAATTTATTAGGATACAATTTTGATAACTGAGGGTCCCTTGGTGGGACAGAAGTAAGTTCTGTGGCCTTTAAGTGCTAAAATCTGGGTTTGATTCCATAAAGTGGACACAGCAAATGCCCCAAGGTGGCTTTTCTATAAAACAAACAAAGAATGCCATGTGTACAGACTTGTAAAACCAGAATATATTCAGTATATTCATGACAAAAATTACACTCCTTGTATGTGGTTAACATGATATAGTACTTGTCAGTCAATGGTATTAATACATTAAGATAGCCTATATGCATTTTATGTATTAACAGAATATGTTCTAATTTGTTACTTGTGTTACTTAAATCCAGCCCATGCTGAGATGGCACATATTCCTCATGAATTTGATTAGACAAATTGAGACTAGAAAAAAATTTTTTTTTTGTACATTCCCCCTCAAAAGGTTAGTTGATACCTTGCCATCAGCATTTACGAATCAATTTTGTTTTTATGATTTTCAAGTTATTTTACAGACTTTTTAATTGTGAAGAAATTAGGTTTTGATTTGTTGTTATTGTCCTTTGGAATATATCGGATTGGGTTATTTTCATAAGAAAGTCATCACGTTTGAGCTTCATCCTCTCAAATATTGTAGGTCAAAATCATTAAATGTTTAAATTTTAAAAAATCAAGTCTTTGAATCTTGTGGTCTTAATTAAATATGACAAATATATATAATCTAGCCCTGTAAATCTGTTAAAATATTATATGAATCTTTAGTTATTCTGAGCCATTTTCACTGAACGTATGGAAAGATGTTTAAGTCTATATAATTTTCCAAATATAATTAACTATATTTTTACAGTTTTGTTTGTGAACAAGGTATTGCAAAATTAGATTTTTTTATATTGTGAAAAAAAGGAACTTTTAAATCATTTTTTTTGTTTACATATTATAATTAAGCATGTAAGTAATAGATTAAATTTTGTTAAAAGGGATGTAATATTAGAAAAGTGTAACAGCACATTGTTTGATGTCTGCTTTGATTGTGTGTGTGTGTAAAGACTTGTTGTTAGAGCATTTGTAACATTTCTCTTTATTTGAAAATTCAAACTTTTTTTGTTCTGTGTTAAACATGATAAATGGTAAATGTGTTTACTAATTTTTAAAAATAGTTATATGTCATAGTGTGGGCTAGAACTGCTAGAACATGAACCAATTAGTGACTAAAGAAAATTTATTGTTACTCTCTCGGTGCTCATTAATAATCTTTAATTGAAGCCTTGAAATATACAGCATTTCTCATTAGACTTCAACTCATTAAATCCCAAATGTACACGCAAGAATTAAAGTTGTGATTCACCAAACTCAAAAATAGTTCACGGTGGGCAGAGCATAAATAGTTCGTAGTATAGCCTTGCGTTTTTCAATAAAGAGACAAGCAAACATTGCATACAAAAGAAGTTTTAAATTGTAACTTACAAAACTATGTACTTGGGCAGAGCATAAATAGTTCGTAGTATAGCCTTGCATTTTTCAATAAAGAGACAAGCAAACACTGCATACAAAAGAAGTTTTAAATTGTAACTTACAAAACTATGTACTTGGGCAGAGCATAAATAGTTTGAAGTGTAGCCTTGCGTTTTTCAATAAAGAGACAAGCAAACACTGCATACAAAAGAAGTTTTAAATTGTAACTTACAAAACTATGTACTTGGGCAGAGAATAAATAGTTCGTAGTATAGCCTTGCATTTTTCAATAAAGAGACAAGCAAACACTGCATACAAAAGAAGTTTTAAATTGTAACTTACAAAACTATGTACTTGGGCAGAGCATAAATAGTTTGTAGTATAGCCTTGCATTTTTCAATAAAGAGACAAGCAAACATTGCATACAAAAGAAGTTTTAAATTGTAACTTACAAAACTATGTACTTGGGCAGAGCATAAATAGTTTGAAGTGTAGCCTTGCATTTTTCAATAAAGAGACAAGCAAACATTGCATACAAAAGAAGTTTTAAATTGTAACTTACAAAACTATTTCCTTGATAGTTTAAACAAAAACTATTATAGCACTAAAGTACTTAAAGGTTTAATTATAAAATGTAAACAAAACCTTTGTGATGGTTTGAAAGTTTCTTTTTTCAGAATAAAACAATTGGATTTTTCAATACTTTGTTCAAAAACAGATCTGTAAGAATATAGTTGATTATGATGGGACAATTATACATACTCTCATCCATATCAAAATAAACAAGTTGTTTAAAAGAAAGTAATTATTAAGGTTCTCATAATGTTTATTACTTTATGGTAATTACCTTAGTGTTATCTTATGTTTCTGTCAATTCTTACAGCTAAGAAACTACCTAAAAATGAACATTCGGTCACTGGTGGAGTGGGTTCAGGGCAAGGAAGGCAGGGAATTGAATTGAGGGAAAATCAACAACAGTTCAACAGTGGATGTTGCAAATGATGAGAGGAGCTGTATCACTTGGGACCCAAAAAATTTTGACAGATGTAATCTATGTTGGAATAATGTGTAGATACAGGTTCCATCTTGGAAAATATGAGGTTCTCAAAAATCGAACTGCAGCACATTATTTCTTTGCATACAAATCAACAAAAATGGATTATCACAAAGAATTCTAATGTGAAATTCTGTCCATTCATCCTTAGCTATAAAGATATAAGAATTAAAATTGTTAGCCTCAGTGAATTATGACAATTAGAACAAAAAAAAAATGTAAGCAAGAATTTATTTAAAAAAAAAGGTTCCTTGGAATTTCTTTTGTAACAGATTGTTTGATTGAATTTAGTATATTGTTTCATTACTGGATATTGAAACTCTTTATTGGACTTTTCATAAACTAAATAAATATTAAAAAAAAGGAAGCAAAAAGTGATTGGTTATTTGTAAGCATCTGTTATTTGTTAGTTTGCTGTATATATATAATAAGCTATTCAAGTATAAATACCTGTCATATGCTAAGTTTTGGTATTTATTAGTTAGCTTACCTCGATGAATGTAGTAATAAAATTGCAAACATTTTGTGCAGACGTCAAAAATACAAAGTTGGCCCAGTGTTTTGAATCATTACATGTTAGGCTTCTGTGTCAATTTTTTTTTGTATTATATTTAAAACAGTGCATTTGGATTTTCTAATATAAAAAAAAAAAGTGCTGAACACATTTTTTGTTGATTAGCCTAATCAACCACTCCTGATGTATTGTATCCTCAGATGTACCACAGAATTCTTTCACTTGCTGTAGACAATTGTTTGTTCAACATAATTTGAGTTTGCCAATCATAATGATTAATACATGGTACACTATTAAACTGTTATTAAAATATTAGAATTGTGTATATTAGTGTAAATTAATGGTTGTAATGAACTTTTCTTTAGGTGTAGATGTGTTAACACGACACACTTATCATTCCAAACATCTCAAAGTTTGAATAAATCATTTTCCGTGACCCATCTTCAATTATCTCGTGTATCTACTTTTCTCTAAGTTCTAGTTATGCTTAAGCCTGTCTTCATCAGAGCCACTTTTTTTGTCAGTTTGTACGTAAAAGAACCACCAACCTCTATTCGTTATTTCCAGATACTCGATCAGTGTATCGTCTGTAGTTAAAATGTAAATAGTATTCTGCATGCATTGTTATACCATTTCCGTGAATGCAGTCCAGCTTATACCTTTTGTATAGAATACTACATAATAGGATTTTGTTGATGACTTCTGTAAAACTATGTAACCAGAAAATTTTCGTTTATTATCATAGTAGAACCAGTGTTTATGCATCATTTTAGAACATACAAAGTATTCATTGTTCTGTGTTGTCATGTGTTTAGTTTTGCAGTTGTAGTTGGTTTGGACTAAATTGATATATATATATATATTGGTATTTCAAATATATTAATGAATCAGAATTTGTCTAACAAAAATGTGTTTTGAAAAATAAAACTTCAATGCTAAAAACATCAGGTGACAAGTTTTGAACACAAGTATTTGGAGAACACTGCAACCACTGTTTCTGGTTGCATGATGTATTAAGCAAACCAAGAGAAACTGTGTAAAAATCATTTCCTTTTCTGTTTTATTTTGACAGTTGCAACATTAACGATAAAAAGTTTATATTATTCTAAAAATATGCTTAAAAAATCAACAGAAAACAAGCTTAAAAACATGCTTTTTTGTAAAGCTAAGTTGAGTGTGGTTATTTTAAACTATTTTTGTATTATAAAATGATTATCTCATCCTTATTTACTTGTTCTGAGTGGATCTCATCAATGTACCTATTGTCTTTGTCGATTATGACACAAGTTAGTTGTGGCTTACAGCAGAAAGGAAGTTATAGAAATATATTATATGGGAATGGTTTAGTGGTGGCTTACAGAAGTAAGAAGGTATAGAAATGAATTAGTTGCAGCTGTAATAGTTTCTGAAATAATTTTATAGATATTTTACTAGACGTTTCACTGTGTTGTATTACCTTTCTTAACTTTGAAACATCGTTTAATATAAACAATTAAGATACATAAGCTGACATACTGGGTCCTCTAATGTTCAACACAAGATACATAAACTGACATACTGGGTCCTCTGATGCTTAACACAAGATACATAAGCTGACATACTGGGTTCTCTGATGTTCAACAAGATACATAAACTGACATACTAGGTCCTCTAATGCTCAACACAAGATACATAAACTGACATACTGGTTCCTCTAATGTTCAACATAAGATACATAAACTGACATACTGGGTCCTCTGATGCTCAACACAAGATACATAGTCTGACATACTGGGTCCTTTAATGTTCAACACAAGATACATAAACTGACATACTGGGTCCTTTAATGTTCAACACAAGATACATAGTCTGACATACTGGGTCCTCTGATGTTCAACACAAGATACATAAACTGACATACCGGGTCCTCTGATGTTTAACACAAGATACATAAACTGACATACTGGGTCCTTTAATGTTCAACACAAGATACATAGTCTGACATACTGGGTCCTCTGATGTTCAACACAAGATACATAAACTGACATACTGGGTCTCTGATGTTTAACACAAGATACATAAACTGACATACTGGGTCCTTTAATGTTCAACACAAGATACATAGTCTGACATACTGGGTCCTCTGATGTTTAACACAAGATACATAAACTGACATACTGGGTCCTTTAATGTTCAACACAAGATACATAATCTGACATA